AAGTCGAGGTCCCACAGGCCCCACAGCTCCAGCAAGGCTCGTTTGTCCCGGAGGTCCGACAAGTCCCAGAGGTGCCCCGGAAAATTCCCGGGTCTCGTAAGTTCCGCAAGTCCCGCAAGTCCCACAGGTCCCGCATGTCCCACGGGCTTCACAGCTTCATCTGGTCTTGCAGGCCTCGATCGTCCCACATGTCCTGCAGGTTCCACAGGTCTCTCATGACACCTTTTGCTGCTTTCAGGGTGCACTGCCAAGGTAAGTTTTGAAGTACTGGCGCACGTAATTGCTTGAGCTGCGCGCAGTGCCGAAAGGGCCATGAACGCAAGTGGGAAACGCTGCCCCAGAAATGCGGAATTCCGCCCGTCCTGGACGTTTTATGTGAACTTGCGGAGGCGGTGGTTTCCATCGTGGTCAAAATGCCAACCATGAAATGGATATTGTAGAATGATTAAACGCATGCGTTTTTATCATATGGCTGTCAATTACTTCGACACATGTGTCTTGATGCTAACGATACTATCAGGAATATTCGTTATTTGCATAATTCATTTGGATGTCTGTTTTCTGTATTATTTTCAATATCGCCAATAACTGGACAACAAAATAGATAACCTATCCGGACGCGCAATCCGTAAGAGTTGAATGGTATCGATACCTAGATCGATGTAGTATCCCCACCAGCCCAGCCACCGGCTATCTTGAGCCATGCTCGGCTGTTGGCTGTCGGAAGCTACCTTGAGCCATGTTCGCTTATCTTCGGCCACGGCCTCTTGGCTCTCAAACGGCATCTTGGGGCCCTCTTGAAACGCTCTTGGGCGATCTTGGGGCCGTCTTCGGCCTTCTTGGGCCATTTTGCGGCCATCTTGAGGGTTCCGAAGCTCATCGGAAAGGAAAATGCGATAATGCCAAAAACATTGATGTTCCCTACGTTTTTGAACGATGTTGGCATACGCCTCGGTACCCCCCCCCCTTCCGGGCCCAAGGGAAAAGGTAAGGAGAGGGTTTCAATGGAAAAGAAAAGAAAAAACGCGCTATACCACCTAGCCTAGATATTGCCAATATAGAAATAAGCGTTCTTTAATTGCAAACATGAACCGAATCTTACACCAAACGTTCAATCGCACATAACGCAGAATAGTATCGGAGACCGCCGGAAGAAAACCTTTTAATGACAATTTGTGTTCCGACACCGATTCTCATGAAAGAACATCAAGTCCGATATTCGAACCGGCATTTCCAAGATTCATTCTTGTGGACGGCAATTTCCAAATTTGCGGACAAAAAATCCCAGAGCGTATTTGAAACGCATTAATTGGTCGCGTACATGTTGATCCAGCACATTTGCGGATTCGTGTGGTTAATTACGTTCTCATATACACTACGCAACTCATAATTATCGAAGAAACTTACGGCGAATCACCGCCGCACCCTGCTGTTTGCAATCGCCTCTGTGGCCGACTTTGGGTCTCGGCCGATTCCCTTCTGCAGAGAGGTGCCCACTTTGGGTCTCGGCCGATTCCCGCCCGCCACCCGAGCTGCTCGCGAACCCGCCCGTCCTCTCCCCCCAGGGCGGCCCCAAGAGGCCCCCCGCGATGGCCAAGGTGGCCTCCAAAACGCCTATGGGGCCGTCTTGGGGCGTCGGAAGCTCGAAAAGGCGAAATCATACGATCATGAAACAAGAAAACGGAATACACACATGATGTCGGCACTCTGGGGGCGTCTTAGAGGCCTCTTGGGCCGTCTGGAGGGCCATCTTGGGCAGTCGTGGGTGCATTTTGAGCCGTCTTGGAGACATCTCGAGGCCATCTTGGGCGCCCATCGCGGCCATCATACAGTGGAGGCCCATACCAAGAAAAGCCTTGCTTGCCTCCAGGGTGCCGTGAGTGTCTCGGGTCTCGATAGTTTTGCCATAAAGAGCGCGACGCTCCCACACCACGAACAAAGATCACCCCAAGAGGCCCTAATAGGCGCAAGAAGTCTCCTAGACGGCCCCGCAGACTTTCAATGTGGGCCTACAGCGTCCGAAGAGGACCCATGACTGCCCCAAGAGGCCCCAAGACGGCCTCTGGAAACCACATGCCCTGCAGAGGCCCCCAAAGGCCCCAAAAAAGCCCCGTCAAAGCCCGCAAGAGATGCCCAAAAGCCCCCGAGAGACCCTTAAGCGGCTCCCGGAGGCCCCCGATGAAACCGCAACACGGCTTCAAAAGGTGTTCTTTTCCTCCTCCTCCTCCTGCTCAGGCCTGCTGAAAGAAGGTGAACGTTCAGCCTTTCCACTTATCTCTTATCTGACCGCACGGAGGCGCATACTTGGTGTTGCTGTCGTCGTTTTGCGTGAACGCTTTCGGTCGCGCAGCCGAGCTTGTCCCGTTCTGTTTGCGCCCGCTCTCTCTGAGACTGTTGTCTTGGCGGTGCAGTGGGGGCCAGTCCACAAGAAACCTTCCACAAGAATCCCCACCCCGAGACCCCAGGACGCCCGTCGATCTTTGGTGCGGGACCGTCGCGCTCTCCACAGCAAGGCCATCGAAACCCGAGAAGCGCGGGGCACCCTGGAGGCCAGCAGGGTGCTTCCTGGCATGGGCCTCCGCGGTACTCCTGTACCCTGCTGCTGCCCGGGGGCTCCGACCGCCCGTGTCCTCGACGCGGCTCCCTGGCGAAGGCGCGTGCTGCCCGCACCCGGGCCGTGCGCCCCGTCTTTTGCGTGAGCGTTCTCGGTCGCGCAGCGGGACTTGTCCCGTTCTGCCTGCGCCTGCTCTCTCTGAGACTGTTGCCTTGTCTTGAGGGTACTCCTGTACCCCGCTGTAGCCGGGAGCTCAGACCGCCCGTGTCTTCGACGAGGCTCCTTGGGCGTGGCTTAATGGGGGGGTCACAAATGGGGGGGTCAGAAGAGGTCCCCTTTCGTGCCCCTTTCGGGCCCCTCCGGAGCCCCAGGGGGCTTATTTAGGTACCGTTTGGGTACCTTTTCGGACCACACTCGCCGCCCCCCCATTTATGACCCCCCCATTACGCAGCGCACGAGCTCCCTGGCGAAGGCGTGTGCTGCCCGCACCCAGGTCGTGCGCCCCTCCTCTGCCTCCGGGTCGCCTCGGGCTCCGGCGGGCGGTGCATTAGGTCGGGCATGTCCCCCTGCAGGTGGACTTTGGGCGAAAACTGGCACATATTTTCAACGTGACCCCAAATTAATCAACAAATCTGCAACACGTCGTCCTCAGACTACCTTTTGATCACTTTTGAAATTTCCCTCCTGTGGTGCGCGAAGCTCAGGGGGGATGAGGAGACACAGAAACTGCATGAGCACACAACTTCGGATGTCCACGCGGATCTCCTGGACCGGCGCCAGGATCCCCTGATCGGCGCCTCGGGCGCCGCCAGGGGAGGTCCATGAGCCTCGTTTCGCCGATCCCTACAGTCGGGGTGGATTGAAGAGGACACGCGAGAGGACACAAGACTCGTCCGAGGGCCACATTGCCATAGGACAGTAGAAGCACGGGCCGCGAGGCACAGGACGCAAGGGTACCCTCGATTTGGCAGGGTCGACCTACTCGTCAACCTCGACTGTGTCCCCACTGGCGTGGCCTCCCCACTGGCCGACTTGCCCACACCTGGGTGGGGGCGTGGTGCCCGTTCCTCGGACCTCGCGGGGCCTGCCCAACCTGGGAGGGTGGGCTCGTGAGTCGTACCCCCTGACCTGGGTCAATCCAGACCCAGGTCATTCAGGCCTCCTCCTCCCCTTCTCAGAAGGGCGAAGGCTTCTCAAAAGGAGGCTGCATCTTAGAAGGCGCCGGCCTTGCATGTGTAGAGAAGCCTCGCGTCTTCCAAGAAGCCTTCCCCCCTCCCCCTACCCCCCTCTGCGCGTGGCCGATACTGACCCGGGTCAGTCAGGCCTTGCAGGATCCTCCAGGAGCCTCTAAGATCCTGCAGGATCCTGCACCCAGGACCGGGCCGGTGCACCCCTGGCTCTGCAAGAGCCTGCAGGATTTGGCGCTCTGACTGACCCCCGTTTGCACTGGCACCCATCTCTGGAACCCCGAGGTCTGCTTTTGGCTGCGCTACCCGGACGAGCAAGGACTGACATCCTCCATCGGTCCGTCGCTCTCCTCCTCTGTGTCGGAGCCGTCCCCGGCGGCGGGCTCCGGCTCCTCATCTGGCAGGAGGGGGAAAAGGGCACTAAGCGACAGAGGCGCCGCCAAGGTGGGCCCGGGCCTCCAAGAAATTCGCGCGGAGCTCCTGAAGTCTGTGCTCATTGAGCATCGCTGAGGCGATCCCCATCCCCACTGGAGTGGCCTGGGTCCCACTGGCCGACTTACCCCCTGGGTTGGGATACGGGCCGTTCCCCTCGGACTCCGAAGGGGCTATGCCCAACTGGGGTGGTGGGACTGAGGTACAAGCCTCGGAACAGATTAGCGAACACTCCTGCCGCATTCATCTGTCAATGCCCCCCCATGATCCCTGTTGGCGGTGGGTTGAATGGGGGAGCGGGGGAGTGCCCACTAATTGTTTCCCTCTCCAGACCCCCGACGTAATGATTTTTCATCACGTCGAACCCCAGAGGTCTCGACCCATTCCCCGGGACCCGTTTTTCATCCCGAGTCGTTCTTTGTTTGACGCTCCTGGGGCCCCCAAAGGCCGACCTTGGGGAACCACCTGCCGTCCTGCCTTCTTCATGACCCGAGGGTCTGGGCCTACCCTTGGAGGCCTGGAAATGGGCACCAACACCAACACAGGAGATTTCCTCCACAAGGGGAAGATGATCCTAGATTTCGGTGTTGGTGGTAATAGTTCGGTCACTTTGGGAGCCAGAATATTGCCACCATCACCGAGATCGGGATTGTCCTCCCTCGGTGGAGGCACACCGCCGATCTTGGTGTTGGTGTCAACCTCTAGGCCTGCGACGTTTTCCTCTTCGATCCTCGGGCGCCGCCTCGGCCGCCTCCCACTCCCCGGCCAGCGGCGGCGGGGGCTTCGCCGCCCCGCACGCGCGGCCCCGCTGCCCCGCGGCCGCGCGCGGCCGCTCTGGCGCCCGCGGGGCCCTGCCGCTTGCCGCCGGCGCCGCCTGAGGCCAGGTCGGGTCGGGGATGGACAGACCTCCCTTTAGTAAAACGTGGTTTAGTGAAAACGACCTGAGGCCCAAACCTGGCGGGCGCAAGCCTGGAGAATAACGGCCGCGGCGCCCTCTCGAGAGCCGAAATCGGACAATTCACTAATCGACGTGTCACTGCTGGGGGTTCTGTCCACCCCTGGTCGGGCATGTCCCGCTTCGGACGACCGAAAAACAGGGATTCATCTTTCGGCGTCCAGTCGTCGTCGTATTCTTCTCCCTTCTCCTCGTCACTACCGCCGCGTCGCGTGGTTTGGAACAGTCGCTGGCGACTGTTTTAGACCACGGGAGTGGTTTAAAACAGTCGTGGCCGACTGTTTTCGCTAAGGTTTATAAGTTGCCTTATTAATGCTTTGGGATTATCCCAAATGCTCTCAAACATAGCTGACACATCGTCCCCAGACTCATTTGTTGTCCACTGCTTTTGGATGCACCTCCTGCAGAGGGGCAGGCCCGACTTGACGCCTGAAGCGCAGCGGCGGCCACGGCGGCGGCCTCCTCCATGGGACCGGCAGCCCCCAGCCGCCGGACCCCCGCGCTGGCGGAGCAGCAAAAAACGGCACGAGGCACGAGCGGCGAACCCGTCCGCACCCGCGCCCTCGCGGCCTGGGTTCCGGGGCGCGCTCCCGCGGGTACGCGGTCGCACGGATGCGCCCCGCGCGGGGCAGCCGCGGAAAAACGCCCCGTATCCGCGGGGTCGCGGCCCAGGGGCTCGGCCCGCGAGGCCGCGGATGCGGCCGCTTCTCGCCCGCAGGGGCGGCATCGGAGGCGCCGCCGGGGGGCCCCCGGCACGGGCCCGAGAACTCCGCGAGGAGCTCCCCTGAGAGCCGACGCTGCGAAACCATCGGCATCGCGAAGATCACGCCTGGAGCCCTAGACTCGAGCGTCCTGCAGCAAGTTTCGAGCCGCATCGGTCTCTGCTCTTGGCCCCGGGGCCCGGCGACGTCGGGGGGCACGCCCGGCGTGGAAGAGTCGCAGCGCCTGGACCTCTCAAGGCCCGAGCATCTGCGGCAGGCTCGCGCCGCGGTCGGCCCCGGCGTCGGCTCCCGAGCACCCCGCGGGGATCCTTCGAGCTCGAACGAGCGGCCGCTCCGTGAACGCCGCAGCGCTCCACGACGGGAACAGTCGCGGGCCACGGGCGGCGCTCTCGGCCTCACAGCGCACGCGCTGGGGGGCCGCCGCCGGCCGGCACGACGCGGGCCCGCCGGTCGTGCCTGTGCCGCTCTTGGCTCCTCGGGCAATGGGGCGGAAGACCCAGCGCTGCTGGTGCCACTCGTGCCAGCCGACCAGCAGCGCGGGGGACAGCAGGTCTGCCCCGGGCGCCGCGCCGATCAGCGAGGAGCGGCCGCCGCGCTGGATCTTCTGCAGGTGCCTGGCGTGGGTGCCCTTCCAGCGGAAGTCCCTGCCGCACCTCGGGGAGGCAACTCCTGGGAGGCCCTGGTAAGACAGAGCAGGGGGCGATCGAGCCCGAAATTAGGCTTGGTTGAACCCACGATTCAGCCAATGGACTCAACGGGATCCGGCCGGATCAAGCTGGATTAGGCTTGTTCTCGACCTCGGATATACCAGCGCCAAGCTCCCAGGAGTTGCATGCTAACGCACCAGTACAGGAACATCTCCCCGCTCGCCGAGAAGTATACCTCGAGAACAACAACGGTGCAAGCAGAATTTTTCGAAGCTCCAGGCGGATTTCTCGAATCTGCGCTGGGGCCCCTGGCGGCGCCGTCAGCGCCGCCCCTGGCGCGCTCCGCGCGCCAAGCAGCGGATCCAAGACATTCGCGCAGAGCTCCGAACATCTGTGTTTGCGCCATTTGTGGCTCCTCCAACACCTCCCTGCCGTTCACCATCACCTCTGGACGCCCGAATCAGGACGGACAAAATGAGTACGATGCCAATGCCAATCTGGTCCCACACCGACAGCGGCCGCTGTTTCCCAGGCGGCCTTTCGCCTCAAATGGACAACATCCGCGGCGACACCGACAACGAGTCCTGCACAATGTGAACAAGAACTGCTGTCGGTCTTCGTATCCATTCCTTCCGCACTCCGAACTTCAAAATTGTAGGGGTGTGGTCTGATTTGAGTTGTCCTGGAACACTCTGTGGGGTCTGGGCAAAAGGTCGTTCTCTCTTTGGCTGGTCTGGAGGGGAGTCTAAAGTTGCTCGTCTGAGAGATTTGTGGCTCCCTACTCTTTATTTGGCGGCGCGCACAAGGAGGTAGGGGGAGGTGGGAAGGCTTCTTATAAGGATGTTGCTCCTTAGAAGGCGCCAGCCCTACATCTGCAGACAAGGCGCGCGCCTTCTAGGAAGCAGGGGTGCTTCTAAAAAACCTTCCCGCCTTCCTCTACCCTCCTCTGCGCGTGGCCGACCTATATGCATAAAACATATGTATAGATATACATGTATGTATGTATGTATGTATGTATGTATGTATATATATATATATATATATCGGAGGTTGGGGGGTGAGATCACCATGGAACGGAGACGCCCAACCGGGAAATCGTTTCGTTTCACTCGTGTCGTGCGTGCGAGCGAGGCGAAACTGCGTGAGCGCGCCAGACGAACGAGCCCACCGTTGCTAGGGCGAAGTCAAGACAAATGATTCTCCCCCTCCCGCCCGTCCGGCGGTGGCCCGCGGTGGCCCGTGGTGTCCCGTGGTATCCGCCGTTGCTAGGGCGAAGTCAAGGCAAATGATTCTCCCCCTCCCGCCCGTCCAGCGGTGGCTCGCGGTGGCTCGCGGTGACCCGCGGTGTCTCGTGGTGTTCCGTGGTGTCCGCCATTGCTAGGGCAAAGTCAAGACAACTGATTCTCCCCCTCCCGCCCGTCCGTCCGTCCGTCCGGCGGTGGCTCGCGGTGTCCAGTGGTGTCCGCAGTTGCTAGGGCGAAATCCAAACAAATGATCCTCCTCCGCCCGCGCGTCCGTCCGTCCGTCCGGCGGTGGCTCGCGGTGTCCCGCGGTGTCCCGTGGTGTCCCGTTGTGTCCCGTTGAGTGGGATCGATACTGAGATCGATGTGGTGCCCCGAGGTGTCCCGTGGTGTCCCAAAAAGTGAGATCGATAGTGAGATCGACAGGTGTCCCGTGGTGTCCTGTGGTGTCCCGTTGAATGAGATCGATAGTGAGATCGATGTGGTATCCCGAGGTGTCCCGTGGTGTCCTATGGTGCCTCGTTGAGTGAGATCGATAGTGAGACCGATAATGAGATCGAGAGGGGTCCCGCGGTGTCCCGTGCTGTCGCGTGGTGTCCCGTTGAGTGAGATCGATAATGAGATCGACAAGTGTCCCGTGGTGTCCCGTTGAGTGAGGTCGATAGTCAGATCGATTGAGTCAGATGTTGGTCCCCCCCCCTCCCCCCCCCCCCCCACAACCTCCTTATCACCCGAAGGGTGGTCGTATCGGTATATCTATATCTATATATAATATAATATATATATAATATAATATATAATATTAATATAATATATATATATATATAGATGTGCATGAAATCCACGGGGTCCAACTCAATTTCGGTCATGCCGAAGCACCTCTGGCAGCCGGCGCTCCTCGTACTTGGAGTTGGCCGGCGCGCGGGCGAAGCCGCCGAGGCGCACAGTGCGGCGCGGCGTCGGGCTGGGGTCGATGGCGCAGATGCCGGCGCAGGGGCGTGGCACCCACGCCTTCTCGTGCCACTCGTGCCAGCCGCGCAGCAGGGCCGGCGACAGCAGGTCGGCCCCGACGGGGGCGCCGACGTGGCACGCGGGGCTGCCGCCCTGGATCTTCTGCAGGTGGCTGGCCGCCGAGCCCTTCCACCTGCAGGGGAGGGAGGAAGCAACCTGTGCTGGGCGGAGAAAAAACGCGTGCGGACGCCGCCACGGGGGCCTTCGGTGGAGCTCCTCATGGGGCCACGACGCGCCGTGCCGAGCGGGGGAAACGCATGCGGGCACCGCCTGCGGAGCCCTCGCTGGAGCTCCCTGTGGGGCCACGAGGCGCTGTACGGGGTGCGGGAAAGCATATGAGCCCAAACTTTCGGAGGTGCGCGCGGACTTCTCGGATCTGCGCTGGGCCCCCCCCTCCCTGGGCGCGCGGAGAGCGCGCCCAGGGCGGCGCCGCCAAGGGGGGTCCAGCAACGAGGCCCCTTTTTTCCATAAGTTTAACTTCGATTTCCTATCGGAAACATAAGGAAAACCTGAGGCAAGCTGTGAAACACTTGAGGAACGCGGAGCCCCTCCCCAACGAAAAAGGTTCCTTCTTCATGGCACCGACTGTAGTTTCTTTTCTTCGAGCCGACGACAAAATGACCCTACTCGCTGGCCTGACCGGGCCGCCAGCGCGGCACGCTGCCTTGGAAACAAGCGCGCCTGCGCGCCATCCTGCGCAGGCAGCTTGGGCACGTGTGTCCGCGCAGTCAGCCACCTCTTCTGCCTCGCGCAGGTGGGGCCCACAGGGCCGTATGCCGCGGCCGTCGCAGGAAGGGGGGGGGGAGGCAGAACGGCGAGGGTGGTGGGGGGGAAGGGGCGAGGAAGCGGAGGGTTATAAAATGAACAGATAGCGACATCGCTGCCCATTTACCTCTGGAGAGTTCCGGGGAGCAGAGGTAATCCCAACAGCCCCCTGGGCGCAGGTGGTCTAACGATGTTTTTCCCAACCATCCTGTGGTGTTGGGTCCTCGTTTTGAAGAGACGGTCCCCGCGTTCCTCCTTCTCCTTCTCCTCCTCCTCCTCCTTCTCCTCGCCCTCCTCCCTCCTGCGTTCGCATGCCTCCCCACCACCCGTTTCGGCACATCCCTCACACGTTTCGTGGCCCCATAGGCAGCTCCACCGAAGGCCCCAGTGGCTGCGTTCGCATGCCTACCACCCATTTCGGCACACCCCTCACACGTTTCGTGGCCCCATAGGGAGCTCCACCGAAGGCCCCAGTGGCTGCGTTCGCATGCCTCCCCACCACCCATTTCGGCACACCCCTCACACGTTTCGTGGCCCCATAGGGAGCTCCACCGAAGGCCCCAGTGGCTGCGTTCGCATGCCTCCCACCACCCATTTCGGCACACCCCTCACACGTTTCGTGGCCCCATAGGGAGCTCCACCGAAGGCCCCAGTGGCTGCGTTCGCATGCCTCCCCACCACCCATTTCGGCACACCCCTCACACGTTTCGTGGCCCCATAGGGAGCTCCACCGAAGGCCCCAGTGGCTGGTTCGCATGCCTCCCCACCACCCATTTCGGCACACCCCTCACACGTTTCGTGGCCCCATAGGGAGCTCCACCGAAGGCCCCAGTGGCTGCGTTCGCATGCCTCCCCACCACCATTTCGGCACACCCCTCACACGTTTCGTGGCCCCATAGGGAGCTCCACCGAAGGCCCCAGTGCAGGGTCCGCATGCCTCCCCACCACCCATTTCGGCACACCCTTCACACGTTTCGTGGCCCCATAGGGAGCTCCACCGAAGGCCCCAGTGGCGCGGTGCCTATGAGAAGAGGGGCCTAGTTTGCGTGCCCCCTCCTTCGTCTCATATCCGTGCGGTACTCGCAGCTGCATATGGTTGGGTCCTTCGCCAGGCTAATTTTTTTCCTCTTCCCAAAAACATTGTTCCCCTTCGGGGAAGGGTTTACCCCTCCCCCTACCCCTCCCCTGGACCTGGACGGGGGGTTCGCGAGGCATCATGGCGTCCAAGATAGCCTGAGATGGCTCCAAAAGGGCCTCAGAGAGCCCAAGATGGCCTCCAAGATCGCTCAAGATAGCCCTACATGGCTCAATATAGCTAACAACTTGCCTCCAAGAGGCATCAAGAGGGCGACAAGACGGTTCCAGATGCTTTTGGACATCCCTCAGGACCTTCTGAAGCCCACATTCTTTAAACACCTGAGGAACACCAATGATTTGTGCCTTCTCCCCTTTTCGCTTCTGGTGTGTTTTTGAGGCGTCAAGGTGGCCCCAAGATGGCCGAAGAGAGTACCAAGAGGGTCCAGTATGCCCCCAAGACGGCCCCAAGACCGCCCCAAGAGAGTCACAAGAGGCTATTTTCATGGCCCCAGAGGGGGGACTAAACGTCAGGACCCGCCTTGTTCACCGACACCCTCCACGACAGCCCTAGGAGGCCCTCCAGGGTCCCAGGATTAGCCCCAAGAAAGCCCCAAGAGGGCCCCCCAAAGCGCCCAGGAGACCCCAAAAGGCTCCCAAGAGGCCGCCAAAAAGCCCAAAGAGGCTCTCCGAGCCACCCAAGACGCTCCAAGAGGCCCCCGGGACCGCCAAAAGGCCCCCAAGACGCCCCAAGAGGCCTTCACCTTCAAGAAGCTCCCAAGAGACATCCGAAGAGACTAGGAGAGTCTCCCAAGAGGCCTCTGGCCCTTCTGCTCGCCCTTTTCCTCCTCCTCCTCCTCCTCCTCCTCCTCCTCCTCCTCTTTCTCCTCATCCACCTATTCCTCCTCCTCCTCCTCCTCCTCCTCATCATCCCCCACCTCCTGCTCCTCCTCCTCCTCCTCCTCGTGCTCCTCTCCTCCTCGTGCTCCTCTCCTCCTCCTCCCCGTCCTCCTCCGACGCCTCCTCCATCCTCCTCTTTGGGTATGACGGTTTCCCTGGCCTTTTGTTCCTCCGCATGCTCCCCCACTTTCCTCATCAAGGCTACTCCTCTGGGCATCGTTGCTAGATGGGCTGGTGTGGTTAGGCGAAGTGTGAAGACTTATCGGTGCATCTTCTTTGCCCCCCCGAAAGAGAAATGAGTTTATTTGGTCGTGGGTTGGAGATCGTCGAGAATTCCCGAACGCTCATCAGCGACGAGCGGGGGCCGAACGAGGGCCCGAGCTCGAACGAGGCGAGGTCTCCAGGCTGGCGGTGGTAATCCATCGTCGGCCGAACCGGACGCTGGGGAGAATCCCTTGTGTCCGGGCCAAGGGTGGTGACCCATCCTCGGCCGAAACGGGTAACTCATGGGGGAACCCTTGTGTCCGGGCCGCCGGTGGTAACCCATCGGCGGTCGAATCTGGGGAAAAGGAAAAAAAACCCTTGTCTCCGGCCTGCGGTGGTGACCCATCGACGGCAAGAGTCGGGCGCAAAGGGAACCCCTTTTCTCCGTGACGGCGGTGGTAACCCATCGTCGGCCGGGACGGGCGCTGGGGAGACAGCCTTTGCGTCCGAGCCGGGAGTGGTAACCCATCGGCGGCCGAAACGGTAACTCATCGGGCGCGGGGGGAACCCTTGTGTCCGGGGGTGGTAGCCCATCGGCGGCCTCATCGGGGGCAGGGGGAAACCCTTGTCTCGGGGCCGCCGGCGGTGGTAACCCATCTTCGGCCGAAGCGGTAACTCATCGGGCGCAGGGGGCAAACACTGCGTCTGGGCCAGGGGTGGTAACCCATCCTCGCCGAATCGGGGGCAGGGGGGGACTGTTGTTTCCAGGCCAGGGGTGGTGACCCATCGGCGGCTGAATTGGGCGCAGCGGGAAACCGTTGTGTGTGGGCAGGGTGTGGTACCCCATCATCCTCCGCTTTGAATTGCGTTCTGTGCGTTGCTCTGGAACCTTTACAAACACCCCACCCTCGCTCCTGATGATAAGAGGAGACTTGCGATTAGCGCCACTTGTTGGTGGTTTTCTGGGGTCAAGGCCGCATTGACCCTGCTGGGCGAAGGCGGGTCGGGGAAAAAACACGTGGTGCAAAACATCGTTTTCCAACTGGTGGAACACTTGTGGCCCGCATTGGCGCCGGACAAAGCCACCATGATGGTCGTGGCCTTCTCGAACCATCCCCGCGGAAACGGTGCAGGCCAAAACCCTGCACAACGCCTGCGCTTTGCGAGTCCAGAAGTACATCAACGCGAAGATGAAGCCTGGGAGCATGCAGGAAAGGTTGACTTGGTTGTGGGAGCACGTCCGTGTTCTGGCCATCGAGGAGGTGTGTGTTGTGGCGGCAGCGCTGTGGAACGCGCTGGACACTCGCGCGTGCCACGGACGAAATGACACGCATGACGTGCAGGAGTCCACCAACAAGCGGCCGCACCACCACTTCGGGCGCGGCCCCATCGTGCTGCGACTCGGCGATTTCCTGCGGCTGAAACCCACCAGCAGCATCGGTCTCTGAGCAAACGTAAATGAGCTCCTGGACGACGGTTCGTGCAAGTACACGGGGCCGCCGACGGTGGAGATTCAGCGCGCCATCAAAGTCTTCTCTGTAACCCCTAGCGTCTTCGAGTTGAAAAGGCACGAAGCAGCGTTTCGAACCCGGGGGCCCTCACATCGCTTTTCTGGGGTGCGCGCGCGAGGTTAAGCGTTTCTCGCCAGAGGTCTGGTCCGCTTGGAAGAAGACGCTGGCCTCGGATAGCCGCGGCGTGCTGGACCCTCGGCACCAGCAGGGCAACTTTCGGCTCGGCTGCGGCGTGGGCGTCTACTGGGAAACGCTGGCGAAGTGAATTAACGCGCGCACTCGTCGCGACCACAAGCGCCTTGGCGTGCCCCTCGTTTTCCCGCAAGCCGTGGACGAATGCAACACAATCCGCGGCGACCCCGACGTAGGTCGGCGCCTTCGAACGTCCCGAACGTACTACGGCAGGGGGCATCCACGGCGTCTTGCCCGCACATGTCGGCGTGGAGTTTCGGTTCGCGGCCGTGCAGGAGGAACCGAAACAAGTTGGGACTCGTGCAGGAGCAGCAGGCCACCATCTTTGCTTTCGAAATTGTGCACGAGGGCGAGCAGCGGCACGACGAGTGCGGGCCAGGCCCGCTCTTCCGCCCCCGTTTCCTGCCACAGGGAAGCTGGCTGCACGTGCGCGACTTTAAAGAGCCCCCGATCTACCAGGAGGTCGCCGAGCTGCTGCTACAGAGCGCCGGCGGCGCTGACGACGACGGCCAGGCCAAGGAGCGGGCGCGGAGCTTGCTCATGTTCAGGCTCAGCGAGCAGGAGCTCACGTGTCAGAGCTCAAGGCCGCACGCCGTGCGCCGCTCGGGGTTCACCCTGACGCACGCGTCTTACCTGGCCTCCATGCTGTCGCCATGTCAGACGCTGCGCAAGGGCGTTATCATCGACTGTGCCAACAATAAAGACGCTGACCGCACGGGCATGTCGGACGAGCAGTGGTGGCTGCACCTCTACGTCATGTCTTCCTGCACCACGCGCGTGCGGAACATGCTGATCCTGCGGCTGCCCTCGCGCGAGATTCTGTTTCGCGGGCCGCCGGCGTCTTTGCGGAAGGCGCTCAGATTCGACGAGATAAAAAAGAGTTCCAGGGCTGAGGCCGAGCAGCTCGCCGCAGAGTTTGGCTTCGTGCTGCCTCCCGCCTGAGCGCCGCGGCGCGCAGCTAGAGGCCCGCGGGGTTGCCCCCCAACAGCTTCGAGATCTGGCGATCGGAAAACGAGTTCCTGCCGACCGATGCGGCGACGACGACGTGTAGAAATCGACGCGCGTGCCCTTGTCAGACGGGCTGCGGAGAAGGTGGACGGGGGGAAGAGGCAAAAGGACGAGACGGGACAACATCAGGGGGCGGGAAGAGGGCCTCCGCCAGGGCGAAAGGGAGAAGGGCGATGAGGAAACGGGACGAGAACTCCTGCCCTCACGAGGACGACGATTAGGTTTACAATCAGGTCAGTTTGGGGGAGTATCATGCGAGGTCCTACCGTCGGAGTAATTGAACGAATGTGCGCGGCGCTGAGGCGAGAGCCACATGTTGAAAAGCACCCGCCCTGAATTTGTGAAAGTGCTGCCAATCTCAAAGCTTCAGGGTCATACGTGGTGAAGAATCTGGAGCGAAACGCCTGGCCCGCCCTTTCGAACGGCCTCGGGGTGCTACAGGTAGGAAATCGCTATAAGGAAAAGGAATGGAGGAGGAGGAGGGAGGAGGAGGAGGAGGAGGAGGAGGAGGGAGGAGGAGGAGGAGGAGGAGGAGGAGGAGGAGGAGGAGGGGGAGGAGGAGGAGGGAGAGGGGGAGGGAGGAGGAGGAGGAGGAGGAGGAGGAGGAGGAGGAGGAGGAGGAGGAGGAGGAGGAGGAGGAGGCGAGAGCTCACCTGGAGTCCTTGCCGCACCAGTACAGGAACATCTCGCCGTCCTCCGTCCAGTAGGTCTCGCGCCCGCCGACCCCGAATTCGAGCTGCCGCCGCTCGCGGTAGCGGCCGTTCACGGCAGGCCGCGCGAAGCCGGCGAGCGTGACGCTGCGCAGCGGCGGGGACAGGGGGCCGATGCTGCACACGCCGCCGGCGGGTCGCAGCTTCCAGGAGGCGGCGGCCTCGTCGGAACCCCGAGATGCGGCGCCTCGATCTCTTCGAGCCTGGGCTCGGGCCCCAGGGCCCTGACTCTCTGACCTTCTGCGCTGCCTCCATTTTTGTCGCGCCGCCGGATCTCGGGCTCTTGGGGGATCCATCAGTATCGAGTCATGCAATCGACTCTCGTCGAGGTCTTCGTCGGATCGGGCTGCATCGGCATGGAGTCAGAATCGGATCGGACCGGCTGAGCCAGGATGCGCAACGACGCCGTGCAGGCAAGCATCGGGCCGCATCGGAGGGTCGGAAACTCGGCATCGAATCGGATCGGGTCGGCACAAGCCGACATCGGATTGGATCAGTTGGATTGAGAGTGGGCCCTCCCCGGCGAGCACCGCACGCGGTGAGGTTCCGGCGCTGGATGCTCGGGCTGAGCGGAGGAGGAGGAGGAGGAGGAGGAGGAGGAGGAGGAGGAGGAGGAGGAGGAGGAGGA